TATCGGAAAGCTTATTTGCAACAGACTTAATAACGGAAAGGTGATTTAAATAATCAGGAAGTTCAGACAACGGCGGAATATATGAGCAAGTTATGTGTATAGAGCTACCAGGAAGCTATAACTTTACACCGGTTGTCCGAACTCAGTAGTCCCTTGTGGTGGTGATGCTACATTTTAAGAGATAGGTAAATCCACTAATTGTGAAACCACTGCGGACAAATCGGAATTCTTAGAAGTCCCTGGTTGCATGCATTTTGTTACGGATTGTTCGGATACCGAATCTTTTTTAGCTGCTGATCTTAGCAACATTTGAGGGTTTGCTGCAATCAGCTGCTGATCCGCCGAAATGCTCTGTTGTTCTTTTGATTTCGGTTGCGGGGTGTTCTCCTTTTGCTGCTTACCACCAGCGGCCTTTTTGGGCTTAGAGGACTCTTCTAATAGCTTACGACTATTAAACTGCGAATTCAGCGCAGAGAGGAGATCATCAGCTCGGCGAAAACTATCTCTAGCAACTCCGAAACAGCTAATCAGCCCCATCAGGCCGCCTTTAGTTTGGAGCATGAATGATTTCATCTCGTTCGCAACCTCGAAACCAGCATCACAACAGAACTGCAAATTGGGCCCATTTGAAAGGTCAGCACTTGTCCGTACAGCAAAACCGGCGCACTTGGTGTGCACCATATTTTCACACAGCCAGCAAGTCATATTAGACTCATCAGCCCTCAGGGTTGCATTTTTTTGCAGAAGAAGACTAAATTAAAGTGTATGCAAAAGCAACACTAAAAACAGCACTACGACTTACGACGATCAACGCACAAAAGAAAAACGGCGGGATTACAAGAAAAGAAAACACAGAACAGAATTACGAAATCAAAACAATTTTTTAGTATTATTACACAATAGCACAAAGATTTATAGTTCACTCGCGAAACGAACGGAATTTAAATGTATGTTTAAATAACTGGAAGAAAATGAAAATTGTTTTGATAAAACCCACCGATGGGAATAAACGCAGAAAAACGCACGACCGTCGAAAGTCAAGGACGAATTTTGTTTTGCTAATTTAAAGTTCATAGCTGCATTGTGTTTTTTGGTACACTTTTGACCTAAGAACCACTTTGCTCTGACAAGAGGCACCCCAAAAGATTAACACCTGTTGGCTTCTCCAGTGGAACTCTTCCAGCACTTCCACTCTTCGGTCGCTTGCATTTTAGGCGGTTTTTATTGCTGTCCCGCAGCGACTTTCACGCCAGCTTGCAACTATTATCTAAACATAAATATTGTATATGTCCACGTTAAAGCCTAGTACTCAGATCGGCAGGGAAAGAGCCTTTCAAAGATATTATCAACTACGTTGGCAAAACAAGTCTGCCGCTGTACAAAGAAATGAAAAAACAATACAATTTAAATTTAACAGTTGTTATACCCTTGCAGAGGGTATTATAATTTTGGTCAGAAGTTTGTAACGCAGTGAAGGAGACGTTTCCGACCCCATAAAGTATATATATTCTTGATCAGGATCAATAGACGATTCGATATAGCCATGTTCGTCTGTCCTTCCGTCCGTCTGTCCATCTGTCCGTCCGTCCGTCTGTCCATCTGTCCGTCTGTCCGTCCGTCCGTCCGTCCGTCTGTCCATCTGTCCGTCCGTCCATCTGTCCGTCTGTTTCAATACCGTTTGCGAGCTCAGTTTAAAAGCTAGCGATCTGTAACTTTCACAGTCGTCCTAAAACATGTGTGCGCAGATCAAGTTTGTAAACCACCCCGATCGGATGTCTATATCCTATAGCTCCCATAGGAACAATCGGATATAACTTGCAAGAATTGAAGATATTTCGCGCAGTGCAAAAGCTATTAACATAAATCTTTCCAACTCTTATTTTTTTGTGCATACCTTGATTAGGGTAAAAGCGCGTGACGATCGGACGTCTATATCCTATAGCTCCCATAGGAACAATAGGGTAAAATCAGTTAAAATTAAATGATGTTTAGGATATTTCGCGCAGTATATAAGCTATTGACATGAATCTTTTCAAATCGTATTTTTTTTATGCATACCTTGATTAGGGTAAAAGCGCGTGACGATCGGACGTCTATATCCTATAGCTCCCATAGGAACAATATACCTTATTCCTTTCGCTACTTTTTCATTTTTAGCAATTTCGGCAAAGTCTGCAAGGGTATTAAAACTTCGGCTTGCCGAAGTTAGCTTCCGTCCTCGTTTATTTTAATTTACTGATAATTATTTTCTAATTTAAAGTTCATTGCTGCACTTTTATTGTGTTTTTTCGTTAATTTTTGACCAAAGAAACATTTTGCCCTGACAAGAGGCACCCCAGATAGTATTAATGTTATTCTGTCCTCACATGTAAACTCCTGCAATCGACTTTTGCGGGTTTTTTTTAATCTTTGCGCTGGGGTTCACCAAAGTTCATTTCAGGTGGTTGGCAACGCGAAGTAATTTTCTGGTATTTTTTTCGTCGATCTGAGTACCGAGGTGACGAAAAGTGAACGTCAGCTGTTTGCCACTCGCTCTCTCTTATGACTGGCATATAGTTTACGTCGATCTGAGTACTAGGCTTAACCAAAGACCAATAATAATAAAAGATTATATTGGTCTTTGGCTTAACAAATATTAATGGCGAAGAAGGTAGGCGAGACTAAAATTGCAACTCAGTAGGTACCATATTGCGGATCAGATAGATCCAACTTAAGCCGCGCTCGCGAAGTAAATTAAAATAAGTAAGTTAGTGGTGAATCACTAATTTTATTAGTTGCTTCAGTAGACAACCTTTTTTCTCGAAGACATCGGCCCTAACCTGACCGGCAACCCATAGTGGGGAATCATCCGGGCGGAGCTACATACCTCCATAGCGGCAGAGACCAGTGAACAGGCCCGCAATCCCACCACCTAGGATCACGCCGGTGAGTCCGTTTCGGATCCGAGTGGGTGAAGAGGCCCTGTTTCGTGCTCCCACGTGCCGTCCGCAGCAGATCTTTGTCCTGGCTGAAGTCCAGCGACACGCACTCGTCCGCCGTTCCTAGCTGGCGAAAGTCCAGCGGCGGGCCACGATTGACACAGTTCCTTCGCCAGCGACCGCCACTGGGGACAAAAAGCTGCGCTAACGGCAACCCCTTGGTTTGGTTACGCGGCGATTGGTGCTACTGCTATGACCCCTTAATTAATTTCCAACACGCTGGTGCGTTTAGAGTCACGTATGCGAAGAAGCATTATTACCTGCAATACAAATTTGTTGAAATTATTAAATGTTAAAAGGCAAATGAAAATGATGATGCCGGTCGTACACCGCCTGGCGGTGATTCTGGCCGTTAAGGATGGGCTGTGCCTCTCTCGCGTCACTAGGGGCACCACAGGAAGGGTGGGTGGCTGTGGCAGCAACATCTAATGCCACTTTTCCGTCATATTTGACCCGATTTGCTTATTTTGGTTTTGTTTACTTTTTGTTATTTGTGATGAGTTAATATATGTATAATGAGACCTCGATAGTTATCGATGGTTAATGTTGGGGAACTGCAGGGATATTGGGGGTACTCCGCCCTGAGGATTCCGGAGTTAATGCCTATTACTCAGATCGACAAACGAGTACGCTAGCGTAAAAACTTTAATCTTTCCAGTGTGACCAAAAGTTCGAGAGTTCATCAGAGTTGAGCGTGCTACGGTCATACTGTCAATCAGCTGGAATCGTTGACAAGTAGTTAAAATTCAAATATCGTATTTGCGGGAAAGAGCCTTTAATAGATATTATCAACTACCTTGGCAAGACAAGTCTGCCTTTGTACAAGGAAATTAAAAAACAATACAATTTAAATTTAACAGTGGTTTGTTATTAATTTACTGATAATTATTTGCTATTTCAAAGGACATAGCTGCACTTTTATTGCGTTTTTTTTCGTAAATTTTTGACCAAAGAAACACTTTGCCCTGACAAGAGGCACCCCATTTACTATTAATGTTATTTTGTCCTCACATGTTAACTCCTGCAATCGACTTTTGCGGGTATTTTGATTTTTTCCCTCCATTTCTTATAATGTTCAGTGAGAGTAAGCGCACGCCAAAAGATTAAATTTTTTAATCTTTTCACTAGGGTTCACTCAAAGTTCATTTCTGCAGACAACTGTATGAAATTTTCTGGTTGTTTTCGTCGATCTGAGTACCGACGTGAAAAAAAAGGCCCGACGAAAAGTGAACGCCAGCGGCTTGCCTCTCGCTCTCTCTCATGACTGGCGAACAGTTGTCGTCGATCTGAGTACTAGTCTTAAAATCCGAAACTCCCATTTCCCTTCATACTCTAGCGTACAAAAATTTAGATGGCCGACATTTCATCTCAAATTGTTTCTCGCCTAGATTTTAGAGTTGCACAGACGGAAAATCGGCAAAATATCGCATAGAAACGTGCGGTTAGGATTCGCAGCTAGTACTCTGAGAGATTTGGGAAAAAAATTACTGCATGGGTGACCGTTAGCCTGGAACATTTATTGCACTGCAATTCCTTATGGACCATCCCGCATTTGGATTGTGGGATTTCGGTATCAAAACTATTAATTAAAAATATTGCGGTCTGGAGAAATCTTATCCTCCGTAAGCGCCACTTCCCTTTCGAATATGCTTGTGCTTCGCAAAAATTAAGACATGATGTTGCGCGGTAAGGAACGCAATTTTACCATCTGAAAAATGTATGGCACGGCCAAAACTTTTAGACCATTTCGCAAATTTATGGTCGTCTGTTGGATATAAGACTAAGACTAAGTGCCAAAGTCTCTTAAATACCGTTTCCCAGAATATTTTTGGAATGGCAAATATTATTTTGTGGGACTTTTGGGTAATGGGCCTTTGGACTTTGGCGGTGCGTGAAGATTTTTATTTTATCATATGACGTGTGAATTGGCTATTACAGGGAATGTCTTTACACTTCCAAACACCAAATATCGGCTAGGATAACATCGAAAGTTAGGGATTAGTGTAATATCAGCCCTGTCGGTTGTAGCGAATTTATTTACAAAAGTAATTGCCAACCATAAATGTTAATTTAGTTTATATATATTATACTTATCTTCGCATGATCAATAGTTTTAAATATATATTAATAGTTAAGAGCAGCAGTTTTGAGTTTGTGAGATTCTGCAATGCAGAAAGGCGATGAAATAAGTGCTAACAACCCTCCGGCGCTTGGAGTTGGCGACGTTGCCAAAACAATAAAACCTTCAGACTTGCCGAGTCTCATTTTTGCGACTGCACCGCAACCCAAAAATATTAGTTGCGACAACACGCTCTGGAACAATTAAAACAAAGCGCAGTCGACAGTGTATGATAGAATAGCACACGACGGTGTGGGTTAAAAAAAAAGCGAAACTACGGCGTTGGCCAGCCAGCGATGCCCAGAACGGAAGCATCATCATTACAAGCCTAAACACCATCAACTGCATCGACATCAGTATCAACGGTAAGACCCTCAGTGGTACTCTGACCCATCTTATGGAAGAGCATCATACACGGGTGGGAGCGGTAGTCGGAACAGGAGCAGCGACCAGGACTACGGACGGACTATTATCGGATGGAGCGGAACGATTGCGACGTCAGGGCAGTCGTCTTCAGACCTCGCGATTTGCTTGGTTTCGCTGCTGCGGAAACTTTCTCACCTATCTTGTCAGGCTACGTAGTACGCCCGAGGAAATGGAACAACGCTATAAGTCCAAAGAGATTGACAAATACCTGGAAAGGGATAGGCATACGTTTCGACGACAGGTAAGCCTGGGGAGCAACATTGTCAAATAAATTTGATGCTCTGAAATTCTTTGCCATAGCTGAAGTTTACTGCAGGCAACCCCATTTGATTGAAATAAATAGGGCTTTTAAGTGTAGTTTACCACAACACCTAAATTTTTGTTGTTTTGATCTTTGATTTATTTTTAATTTCGGGAGTTATATTTTGACCTTTGGGTACCTTGCAAAGGCAAATAATATACTATTATTTAATAATACTATTTTAACGTGCTATAATTATAAAAAAAGTAATTTGGTTGGATGCATTCAAAACAGACAGAGAACTGGGATTTCTGATTATCTTGATGAAATCATCAGTCACTCAGAATGGAAGCGCGAAAAACGCAAAAGCACCATTGAGCAACAATTTGATTTATCTATTTATCTAGTAATATTATATTTATTTTAAAACTCAGGAAATTTAGCTCAAAGAAGTTGGGTCGACTAAAATGGAATTTTCAAAAATTGAATAGCTTAATCTTTTGCCCATTTTTTGCCCATGTTTGCCCACTTTTTAATTTTTTTTGCCCACCTTTAGTTTTGAAAATATGGAATCTTCGAAAATTTTCGAACATTTTCGAAAACATAAAAGTTGACTTTTTCAATTTTTTTTTTTTTTAATCGCAAGAGAATCGTTTGTTCATCATTTAGAATTTTGAAAATATTTATACTTTTGAAAATATTTGACTTTAAAGTTTTGATCATATTTACCTGCAGAAAAAATTGTTTGCCCACCCCTTAAAAAGAAGAAGAAATTAAAAAAAAATCGTTTGCCCACCTCTTAAAAATAGTTAATTTTGACAAAAACGTTTGCCGACGGCTTAAACACGAGATTTTTAATAAAAAACGTTTGCCCACCCCTTAAAAATCGTTTTTTCCAAAAAATAAAAGATGACCATGTTTGCCCATCTCCTGAAATTTAAGAATTAAAAAAAAAATCGTTTGCCCACCCCTTAAAAATAGTTAATTTTGACAAAAACGTTTGCCGACGGCTTAAACACGAGGTTTTTAATAAAAAACGTTTGCCCACCCCTTAAAAATAGTTTTTTCGAAAAAATAAAGGATGACCATGTTTGCCCATCTCCTGAAATTTAAGAATTTAAAAAAGAAATCGTTTGCCCTCCTCTTAAAAATAGTTCATTTTGACAAAAACGTTTGCCGACGGCTTAAACCCGAGATTTTTAACAAAAAACGTTTGCCCACCCCTTAAAAATCGTTTTTTCGAAATAATAAAAGATGACCATGTTTGCCCATCTCCTGAAATTTAAGAATTTAATAGAAAAATCGTTTGCCGCCCACCTCTTAAAAATAGTTCATTTTGACAAAAACGTTTGCCGACGGCTTAAACACGAGATTTTTATTAAAAAACGTTTGCCCACCCCTTAAAAATCGTTTTTTCGAAAAAATAAAGGATGACCATGTTTGCCCATCTCCTGAAATTTAAGAATTGAAAAAAGAAATCGTTTGCCCACCTCTTAAAAATAGTTCATTTTGACAAAAACGTTTGCCGACGGCTTTGCTTTGCCCACCTCTTAAAAATAGTTAATTTTAACAAAAAACGTTTACCCACCACGTTATAAGGGGTGGGCAAACGTTTTTTGTTAAAAATCTCGTGTTTAAGCCGTCGGCAAACGTTTTTGTCAAAATTAACTATTTTTAAGAGGTGGGCAAACGATTTTTTTTTAAATTCTTAAATTTCAGGAGATGGGCAAACATGGTCATCTTTTATTTTTTCGAAAAAACGATTTTTAAGGGGTGGGCAAACGTTTTTTTTATTAAAAATCTCGTGTTTAAGCCGTCGGCAAACGTTTTTGTCAAAATTAACTATTTTTAAGAGGTGGGCAAACGATTTTTTTTTAAATTCTTAAATTTCAGGAAATGGGCAAACATGGGCATCTTTTTTTTTTTTCGAAAAAAATCATTTTTAAGGGGTGGGCAAACAATTTTTTCTACGGGTAAATATGATCAAAACTTAAAAGTCGAATATTTTCAAAAGTATAAATATTTTCAAAATTCTAAAAGTTGGGCAAACGTGGGCAAACAATTCTCTTGCGATTAAAAAAAAAAAAAATTGAAAAAGTCAACTTTTATGTTTACGAAAATGTTCGAAAATTTTCGAAGATTCCATATTTTCAAAACTAAAGGTGGGCAAAAAAAATTAAAAAGTGGGCAAACATGGGCAAAAAATGGGCAAACGATTAAGCTATTCAATTTTCGAAAATTCCATTTTAGTCGACCCAGCTTCTTTGAGCTAGGAAGTGTAAACTTTTTGGTTAAGCTGAAAACAAAGTCTTTAATAACACGGCAACAGAAGTTCTGTGCAGGCCCAACCCTTCGTCTTTTGGTACTTACGTTGTTTTTAGTTTTAGAATAATTGATTTTAAGAATGGTCAAAGATTTCTACTAACCTTTTGGAAATAAGAAGTCAAGAAGACAATAAAAAACGGTCGTCTTTAATTTGCTTTAACTTAAGAAAAGTTAAACGCTGCTCACAGAGATTTTTAAATTTTGGCAAATTAAAAAATCTTGGAATATATTTTAACCTTGGTTAATTCGGCCAAAAAAGGAGTATTTTGTTAAAATTTTTTTACAGGGTACGGTTAATGTCAGATCAATTATTTTATTAGCATATCAAAGTACAACATTTTATCAATGTTTTCACAAATTTTGAGCGAAAAAAAAATAAAAGCCATTCGCAGCCAAGCTCCGTAGGCGCAAAAATCTGCACAGACTTGCTATCCTCCCTAAAATCTTTTACTAACTTTAACAACCAGTCCTATTCTAACCATTTCCCAAAAAAAAAACTCATTTGAATCCCCAGCCACATCGGCATATAAGGTAACAAGAATGCTGGTCAACAAATGATACACTCAAAAAAAAAGCACTAACAACATTGCACATGTATAAAAAATGTTGCAAATACTCCTTCCATTTTTTTATATTCCAACACCAAATATAACAGGAAAACTCAAATAATTATAAACCGAATTCGACTAGGACACACCTCACTTACTTACCAAAAAAATAAATAAATAATTAAATAAAAAATTTACAATACCCTATGCAGTGTATAAAAACAACGAGTCGGATCGGGCGACTATATCATATAGTTCCCATAGGAACAATCGGAAAAAAATTTTAAAATGTTTAACTTTATTAAATACTATGAAATATGGTTTTAATTAAATTAAAATCTGACATCTATATCATAAAACTCCCACAGGAAAAACCAAAAATTTAAATAATATAAAATTAAAATTAATTTTATTTTTCTGTTTTTCTATTTATCAAAATATTTATTTGAGATATAGTAATTATTAACTATATCAGAATTACGCTATTATTTTTGTCAAAATCGGACAACAATATCATATAGCTGCAGCTTAACATCGACTTTTATCTTCGTGGAGGAATAGTTAGGTAGAAGACCAGTTTTGATGGTATTGGTTTACTTGGTAACTTGCCTTCGAGCCATCGGTGTAGAGAAAGGGTGTTTTTAAGGGATTGTTTGTAGATAATTGGAGGAGTGTTAACTTTACTGTAATTTAAAAGTTCGGTGTTTGTAAGTTTAATTTTAAATTCGTTGTTGGTTTTTTTTATCTCGGGTAGTTTTTGATTGGTAAATTGGGTTTATTTTTTTTCATGTTTTAATTATTCGTTCTATTGTTTTTATATTGGATTCAATATGTTAATAAGGTTGTTGTTTGTTGGTGTAGTACTGAATGCGCCTAGCGCTGCTCTAATTGCTAAGCTTTAGCTTGTTTTTAGGTGGTTAATTAAGTGTGCAGGTGCGCTTTCATAAATGGGTAAGCAGTAATCAATTTTCGACATTAGGGTGGACTTAATAATTTGGATAACGGAAGTTGGTGTTGTATGATGTTGAGGGGTTTGCAAGGACTACTTTTAGTTTGTTTTTGTGAGAGGACCAGATGTATTGATTGTTGAATGTGAAGGATTATTGTGGTGTTGGTTTCTGGGATAGTTAGAGAGCTAGCTTTTTTCTTTGCTCTGCAGGATTCTAAACAGATGCACCACTCCTTTATTTGTTGGAAAAAGAGATGTCAGATTTATGAATGGAATTGTAGGGAATTAGAAATAGGACAACTAAGATGGGGAAGCCTTGTGTGTTGCCGTTGACGAGTGGGAAAGTGTTAAAGAGAGAGACTCCGTTTTTGAATATGATCTTTCTGTTTGTCATAAAATTATGAGTTCGAAAGCCTACTTTCCATTTTTGGAGTTGATGGATGAGACGATAAATACCTATTTTATCGAAAGCTTCTTCAAAGTCTAATGATGTGATTAAAATGTGTCGTTTTATGGAAAGGGGTCTGGCCGCCAGATGATCTACATATAGTAGACTGTCTAGAACAAATTTTCCCCGAGCTGGTTGTTATGAATGTGTTTGTTGGTTAAAACAAACAACCCCTATCTTTAAGCAATGATTCGATCAATAACTTATGCTAGGCATGGGCTTATGATTGAGTTTGAGTATATAGGAGTTTAAAGGTTCTAGTCGTTTAGTTTAAAGTGTTTATTTGGAGAAATGAAGGTGGAGATCACTGTGAATTTATTTTTTCTTGAATCTAAAGTTCAGCTTCAAGGTCAGGGCTTAGTAGATATTGCGTGTTTGAAACAGATTAAGGCACTGTGCTTATGAATGCATTTGCATTGTAGCTGCAGTAAATTATAATGTTTATGGGTTCGGGAATGATGTAGAGTGTGATAAGAGTATTTCTTGAAAGAATATTACATGTGAATTAAATTGTTTAATAAGAATTTGTAGTTCTGAGTTCTTATTTCGATACCTTTAATGTTCCATTGAATTTGTTAGTTAGTTGGTCCATATGGAAAGAGTCGCTTAAAGCGTCTCCAGGTTTAGTTGAATTTTATATGATTTTTTTTTTGTTTGTTTTTTTTTTTGTTTGGGGCTTTATAAGCTTGAAGCTCGTATATATGTATGTAGAGCGAGATAGGATTTAAAC